TTGCTAAAGATAGGAGATTTTGGGTTTGCAAGGTATTATTATTTATGACCAAAAAGGATGTTTTCTTTTTATGGAAAGGTATTAGTTTTGGTATGTAATGTTGAGATTTTTTTGGTAGGTCTTTAACTCCTGAGAGCATGGCTGAAACATTCTGTGGTTCTCCTTTGTATATGGCTCCAGAGATTATCCGGAACCAAAAGTATGATGCAAAGGTGAAAAAACTTCATCTGTTTAATCTTTTTTTTGTTCTTTTCATTTTAACTCTGTAATAAACATTTCAGGCTGACTTGTGGAGTGCTGGTGCGATTTTGTTTCAACTTGTTACTGGGAAGCCACCTTTTGATGGGACTAACCACATCCAGGTTCTTTTGGCTTAGACTGATGAACTGCTTCTTGAACTTGTAGTAATCTTATGGCCTTTCATTACATGCTTCTCTACAGCTATTTCAAAATATTGTGAGAGACACTGAGCTGAAGTTTCCTGGAGATGCTTTGAATGAGATTCATCCTGATTGTGTAGATCTCTGCAGAAGTCTTCTACGCCGAGACCCAAGTACTTGTTATATCATTCTTCATTTGCCTGCTTACTTGACTCTAAGATCAATCAAGTCACATTAATACGTTTCTTTGACTACAGTTGAACGCTTGACGTTCCGAGAGTTCTTCAGCCACAGGTTTCTTCAAGAGCCAAGGTAATACATGTCTTGAGAAATTTGATTAGCCATTAAGGTTGTTAATCACTACCAACCTTAATCATCTTTCATACAAACTGTTGTCAGACAAATGCCTGGTGTTGCGTATTCTGATGCTGCTACCTCTAGGGGGAAATCATCCTTGCCATATGCACAACAGAGTAGTACAAACATATTCAAATCAAGTTCAGAGAATGTCTACACACATGAGAGTTCCTCTAGTGCCTCAACTTCCAACATTTTGATGCAGCAACATGTCTCTTGTGAGAAGACCAATGAGGGACAATCCTCATCAAACCAACTTGGAGGTTTGTTGTGTCTTATCTCTATTGCTTTTATAAGCTCAAAATCACTCAGAATCGGTTGATGTTGTTGTCATGTGTTCAGTACTTGACTCGCTTGAGCTCATAGAGAGGGAATATGTACTTGTAAACCGTCCTTCTGAAGGTTCTTCAGATTATTTCGACACATCACTTGAAGCACAGAGACCATTACCTGACGTGTCAGCACCACGTTCAGCAAGCGGATCATACCTGTTAACAGAAGTCCAACGGTTAACGATTGTTCATCCTCCAACGAAGCTCCAACTCTTGCATCAGTATGCAGAGGCACTTACAGAAGTAGCTAAAGAGATGGTAACTACAACTCTTTATATCTATGGTCTCTCAAGTGATAACATTAGAGAGATTCTAATACCGTTTGTATACAGGACAATGTAGGACAGGTGAAGGAATCATTTGCTGTTACCCTCGTTGTTTTAGCTGCATGGAGGAAAGCTTTAGAGATATGTGATTCTTGGATGGTGTCTGTTGGAGAGGATAGAGTGAACACAACAGCTCCAGGGACTTCAAATCCAGATTTAAATTCACCAGCAGTAGCTAAAATTTGGGTGACACAAGAGTTTGTTACTGCGTTTAATCAGGCAGAGACTTCATCAACTCAACTAAACCAAACAAGCGGTTAGTACTTACACTCGAGCATTATCTTTGCAACATTCACTGAATGCATCTCATTGCAGCTGCTACTCATATGCCTGATGCCATGGAAACAATATACGAGAAGGCATTAGCATACGGCAAGAGTGGTGGGGTAAGTAAAAAGTACTATCCCAAACAGTCTGAATACTTTTGTCAGAAGCTTCGGGTTTGGTTATTCGGTTTGGGTAGTTCGGTTCAAAATAAATCTTAGTGAATTAGTCGGAAATAATGTTCGGTTGGGTATTCGGTTAGTTTGGTTTTTGAAAATTTTACCAAAGTTTTTGATTTCATTAGATTTTGGTTTAATTTTGTTAAAACTTCGAATAAATTTGGTTAGTTCTGTTCAAAATTTGGTATGGTTTGGGTATAATTTGTGTTTAAAACAAGAAAACCGAAGTAACCGATTGTTGAACTGAACCGGAAACCAATTCTTTTTATAGAAAATCTACCGAATCAAACGAAACTTCTAACTGAACTAACCAAAATTTTGGTTCGGTTTGGCGGGTTCGGCTCGGTTTAAAATCCCATATCTTCTTCCACCTTTGTCCTTAAGTCAGAAACTTCTAACTGATTCATTGTTTCTTTTTGTTGTTTTCCAGGCAGAAGAATATTTGAATAACAAGGAAAGTGCAGCAAGATTATACAAGAAAGCGATTCTTCTACTCTCCTTTATAATAGAGGAAGCAGTGACTCTACCTCTGTCCCCTCCTTTCTCATTAACCCCTGACGACAAGAAGAGGATTCTCTACTACATCTCTAACTTGCAGCATCGTCGGTCTCATCTTTAGCCAAAAATCGACTGCTACATTGTACAGAAAGAAACTTTCTAAGCTTGACTCAGCCTTGAATCAAGTTTATAACATTTGGTGTTTTATTATCTCTTGAAATTTCAAAATGGTTACTCTATATTCATATGATGATGTGACCAAAAGTATTTGCCTCCACCCATTGTATAGTATAATATCAAAAGCTTAAAAAAAAAATTGATAGCTTGTTGATGTCAAGAATGTCATGTTTCTACTCTCTGTTTTTGAACTATTGGGCTTAGTTAGTGGATCCATCAGTAGTAAACAATGTAATACATCAAGCCCATAGAACTATATGATAAAAACAAACAATTGTTTTCTTTGTTAAACATCATCATCATCAGATTCAGCTTATAACAATAATCAACTTTCTATTCATGTCACACCATATGACCATACCATTACAAACAAAACACTTTATTATTGTCAATAACCAGAAAGTCAATCCATTAAATAGAGAAAAAAGTCAAACGCTGATTGATGATAAATATCATAAATACATATGAGGTCAAACATTAATTAAATGGGACCAAAACCCCACAAAACACCCAAAACATAACAAAACATGATCGAATAGTCCAATAATAGTACAACCAAAACAGAGTTTTAAATTATTTTTTATTATCTTTAAAATATTGATTTTTTACGTCGAGGTATCAAAAATCTGATGCGCCACCTTCGTTATCTCCTCGGCCGATTCTAGTTTACAGTCATCTTCCATCTGTTCCATTAATATATTATTAAAGATTACATTTAAAAAAAAATATTAAGAAAATAAAAAAAGTGAGTTACCTTGAGGTTGAAGCAATAAGAGACTAATGAACAAGACAATGACGAGATATTGAGATGAAGAACAGTGAGTCTAAGCTTTTCAAGTGAAACGATTCCTTTCAAAAGCTGTCCTTGTTTCTTCCGACACTCAACTTTAAGGTTCACATGGTTCTGTATCAACGTAGCTTCGATTCTTGGGACGCAAGTAACTCTGTTTTCAACTCCACTACTCTGTTTCGTTCTCTTTTGCATCTCAAGTGATTGTATGATTTGCTCGAGTACCTTCGCGTAGTTTATAGCTCCTCCTACTATGGATGCTTGGTCTCCCTGAAAAAGAAAACCCTAAACTTAGTTAAAAGAGATTTTTAGGGTNTGTTTTCAACTCCACTACTCTGTTTCGTTCTCTTTTGCATCTCAAGTGATTGTATGATTTGCTCGAGTACCTTCGCGTAGTTTATAGCTCCTCCTACTATGGATGCTTGGTCTCCCTGAAAAAGAAAACCCTAAACTTAGTTAAAAGAGATTTTTAGGGTTAACGATTTGAGAGAGGAGAGATTACTCGTTGGATGTAAGAAGGTGGGAGAAGAGAACGTAAGGAGTTGATATGTTCGTTCATCTGTCGCCTTCGATTACGTTCAACAGCAATGTGGTTGATTCTTTGATTCTCTATTTCTTCAATGTCTTTACTTGGTTTAGTTTTCCTCCTCTTCCTCTTTCCTCTAGTCACTTCAGGAGGGTTGTTGCTAATGATTTTGCGCTTGCGTCTTGAGTTTGGTGTTGATGAGGAAGAAGGGAGTGTCATGTCTTGTCGGCTAAAAGGTAGTTCTTGGCTTGACAAAGCTTGTCTGGTTACTTCCATGGATATTGGGTTGTGATAGAAGTGGTTGGTATCCTCTGGAAGATAGCTTTTGAGTTCCCAATGGTTAGGGAGGTTCTGAAGAGACAATAGTTCTTTGAATGATGTAAACGGTGAAGGGTCTTCTTCACTTTGCAACATTTGTAGAAATGGAACTGAATCTTGCAAGCTTTCTTCCTCCTCTTCTTCTTCTTCTTTAAAGGCAACAAATCCTTGAGCTTCTAACTACAAGAAAGACAGAGGATTTTAGTTTACTTGGTGAGAAGAATGATTCTGCTGTGTGACTTGGTGAGTTTTAGTGTAGAGATAAACAAAAGTAGAAGGGAAAATGGAATGTTTTCAAAGTAGATGGGAAACAAAATTGATTGCAGAATCTGTTATTGTTTTCTGTAAAACAAACAAGAAAAGCATTGAATGCAAAAGCATCTGGACTCATTAGGGAAAAAATAAGTAAATACAAGTCTGTTACTCTGAGCATAGAGAAAATATGATTCAAGGGGAAGAGAGAAAGAAAGTGAAGATTCCTAAATTAAGCAAAAGATACATACACAGGGATTGATGTGTCCTTGAAACCTCTCCATTTGAGAACTTTTGTTTCTTATGTATTATTATTATGCAATGATGTGTGTAACAATAAATGCTAAGAACAACCAAAGAGGTAGAATAGGAAACTCATGTACTCTCTTCTGATTCTGAGTCTTTCTGAACTTGTAACTGTTATCTTTATATAGAGCAGTGAGTCTTTAATAGCTATAGAGTAGGGAGGAAATAGAGGAGCTGTGAAAAACAGAGAGGTAAGAAAATATACATTTTTAAGTACTGTTAGAAGAGCTGGTGAGGCTGAGAAGAGCAGAGGGGTGAGAGAGAGAGAGAGAGAGATTGATTATTGGTGGAGGCAGTTTTGTCTTGATGTGGAGACAGAGACTTTGTGGGGACATTCTAAATTACACATAAGAAGAAGGTAAATAGAGACAAGTCATGGGTAAGAGAGCTTTGTATTGGGTCTGTGTCATCTTTCTCATGATGTCACAATCATCCTTTCTTCATTATACATCATTACATTACACACCACACCATTCCTTTTCTTCAAAGCTCAAAAATCTAAACCTTTATACAGAACTATTCTGCCCCCATCATGTTCTAATGTACTTAAATGTGGGTTTTCTCTAATATCTTTATAAACCAATAAAAAAAAGAAAAGATTTGACTCTAGATCATTTTTTTTGTCAACCGCTCAAAAGATTCTTATGTTTGATGCCTTGGGTTATACGGCAATGAACAGTGTTGTACTATAAAATGTCCCTGTTTTGTCTACACAACATACTTAACAAAGAATCAGCCTTTGGATTGTTAATCAAGACCTTAGAAACCTTATCAACTAAATAAAAAAACTACAAAGAAAGTTTGAATTGTTTTTCTTATATCATGTGTGTACTGTGATATGGTTTGCTACTGTCACACACGAGCTATGGTTACTTGCTCTAAGGACAAACATACCCCACTTTTTTGGTAGCCATGTTATCAGAGATAAACTCTAGAGATTCAGATTCTTCTATAGTAACATACACACAAAGACCTAATCTCAGATAAAGCTATGTCCTTTCAGACACCCTTTTTAATATAAAACAAGAAAAAAACTTCTTCATAAACAAAAACAATGACATAGCAAACAACAATGTAAATAAAAGAACACGAGAAAGCAAGAAAAAAAAAAGAGATTGAGTTTGATCATGAAAATGACAGAAAACCAGATAAGTTAACCGTCTCCGGTTTGTTTTTATTGTTCCAACGCTCGATTTGTATGGTAACGTGACTGATACGGTACTCTCTCCAGATGTAATCAATCACTTTGTTAAGCACCATGGCATCATCAGATTCTGTTTTGATCTTGACATGACAATAAAACAGAACTTTTCCAACTGTTATTGCCCAAATGTGAAGCTCATGAACATAAACCACTTCCTCCATCTCCAACAATCCCTTTCTAGCTGCCTTGCGTTGATCTCTCTCGGTGTACTCTCGAGTATGCTTCTAACCATCTTAATGGTTGTCCCTAAAACTCTGCCGAGGAATCGCTTCCCAAGAAGACGCCCATAAGGAGAGCATTGAGATAGCAAAAGCAGCAACGTCGGTGAGCAAATGAGCTGCATCGGTTAGAATAGCCAAACTCTTTGCCTTTGATGCCACCAACAACTTCTATGCTCATGGACAAAATACATAACACCACAACGATACAAAGCTTTCGCATTGAAGCAGAACGTTCCTTAAGCATCACTTGAACAAGCTTTACTTCTTGTTGAGTCCATCTGCCCAAGAGACAATATGTGAACTTTGGAGTTGAACCAATGGACACAAAATAAAAATATTAAATATATTATTGTAGTGTGTTTGATACAAAACTATAGCTTCATATATATAGTGATTAGTTTTAACATATTGCTAACACTATGTAATATAAAACCTCACGAGTGAGGTTTAGAATTTGAGAGATGATGGATATATATATTTATTTATTTTTATCAAAGATGGAGATTTATAAAGGAAAGAAAACCAGGGAAGTAAACTGGACATACATTCCACAACCAAACAAGGAGTTAAGCAAAATAAACACTACACATTTCAACGAACGAAGGGAAGAGAAATTATATATTTTGATAATCTATTAGAGCCCATAAGTTAATGATAATGGCAACATATTGGTACCATAACAGACTCAGGGCCGGTCCACAAGGGAAGTCATCCAAGCATCGGAAAACTCAATCTTTTCGTATTCACATATTTCAAAATAAATTACAAAATATGGAATTTTTGTATTTATGCATAAATGCATCCAACACTGATATATGATGAATATTAAAAAGTTTTGATACCTTAGTTGTCCAAGTTTCTTTAGAAATTAAAGATTTTATAGGGTTTTGTTCATTGATTTTGGTGGTATATGGAGTTTTTTTTTAATTCCTACGTTGAAAAATAAGACTGATGCCCATATACCATGAACGTAAGTTTAATACATTAATATAAATTTTGAATGTTGTTAGCAGGTTAAGTATTATTAAACAAATCTAAAGAGACATATATATATATATATAATATTTATCGAAAAACTCAATCTCTTTGTAGAGGTTAACCCACATATTTCAAGATAAATTAGAAAATATTATCTTTTTGTTTTAATGAATTGCTGCATCATGCACTGATATAGTATGAAGAATAAAGAGGGTTGTAACCTTAGGTGTTCTAACATGGAATTTTTATAGGGGTTAGTCTACTTATTAGTTGGTATATGATGTTTAAATAAATTACTCATTGAAAAATTAGAAATGATGCTCATGTACCAAGAAAATAAGCTTAGCATACATATAAATAAAATTTAAGAGTGATTAGGTATTTTTAAACAACACTAAATATGCTAAATAGTATAAATAGTATTTATCGATAAATTAAATTTTTTCGTAGGGGTATTTATTGTTCATAAAACATTACCTAATCAAATTATAAATTTATATTAGTGTATGTTAAAATTATTTGCATGGTACATTGACATTATTTCTAATATTTTAGCGAATAATTTAATAAAACTTCATATTTCATCTAATTCAGTGGATTAATCCCTATAAAATCTGTATAATCTGGAGAAACATGGACAACTAAGATCACACACATCTTTAATCTTCATCATATGTCAGTGCATGATGAAAATCTAGTTTTTTCAATAAATGCTAAATTAAGAAGTTTAGGCTCTTTATTGTTGATGAAAACTACCAAATTACGTTATAATTTTTTATTAATGTATGTTTAAATTATTTTCATGGTACAGGGACATCATTTCAAATTTTCCCACATGTAATTTATTTAAGTTTTATATACCAGTTAATTAGTGGACAAACCCCTACAAACAAAAAATTCTATTTTCTCGAAAAACATGAACACCTAAGGTCTCAAACCTCTTTAATTTTCATACTATGTCAGTGAATAATGCAAATATGAATTAATTTTTTTTTTCATATTTTCCAAATTTTCTCGAAATATGTGGGTTAACCCCTACAAAAAAATTGAGTTTTTTGATAAATGCTAAATTCAGAAGTTTAGGGTCTTTCTTGTTGATAAAATATTACCTAATCAAATTCTAAATTTATATTAGTGTATGTTAAAATTCTTTTAATTGTACTTGGGCATCATTTCTAGTATTTTAGTGAATAATCTAATAAAACTTCACATTTCATCTAATTCAGTGGACTCACCCCGATATAATCTGTATTTTCTGGAGAAACATTGAGAATTAAGGTCATACACATCTTTTAATCTTCATCATATGTTAGTGCATGATGAAATTATGCAGTAAAATGAAATATCATATTTTCTACTTTATCTTGAAATATGTAGGTTAACCCCTACAGAAAGATTTTGTTTTTTGATAAATGCTAAATTAGAAGTTTATGGTCTTTATTGTTGAAAAACAAAATTACCTAATCAAATTATAATTTTATATTAGTGTATGTTAAAATTATTTTAATTGTACATGGGCATCATTTCTAGTATTTTAGTGAATAATTTAATAAAACTTCATATTTCATCTAATTCAGTGGACTTACTCTAATAAAATATGTATTTTCTGGAGAAACATTGACAACTAAGGTCACACACATCTTTTAATCTTCATATTTTCATATTTTCTTATTTTTCTCAAAATATGTGGGTTAATCCCTACAAAAAATCGAGTTTTTAGATAAATGCTATATTAAGAAGTCTAGACTCTTTATTGTTGATTAAAATTACCCAATAACATTCTAAATTTGTATTAATATATGTTAAAATTATATTCATGGTACATGGACATCATTTCAAATTTCCAACGAGTAATTTATTTAAATTTCAAATACCACTTAGTCAGTGGAGAAATCCCTACAAAACAAAAATTCTATATTTTGGAGAAACATGAACACCTAGGTTCTCAAACCTCTTTAACCTATGTCAGTGAATGATGCAAATATTCATTAAAACAAAATTTTCATATTTTCTATTTTTTTCTCAAAATATGTGGGTCCTACGAAAAATCGAGTTTTTTTGATAAATGCTAAATTCAGAAGCTTATTTACCTAGTACATGGACATCATTTCTAATTTTCCAACATGTAATTTATTTAAATTTTATATACCTCTTAATCGGTGAACAAACCCCTTACAAAAACTCTATTTTATGGATAAAAGTGAACACCTATTGTCTCAAATTTGTTATAAAAATTACCCAATCACATTCTAAATTTATATTAATGTATGTTAAAATTAGTTAAATTTCATATACCACTTAATTAGTGGACAAAGCCCATATAAAAGAAATTCTATTTTATCGAGAAACATGAACACCTAAGGTCTCAAACCTCTTTAACCTTCATACTATATCAGTGAACGATGCAAATATACACTAAAACAAAAATTTCATATTTTTTTATTTTTTTTCAAAATAAGTGGGTTAACCCCTACAGAAAATCGAGATTTTCGATAAATGCTATATTAAGAAGTTTAGGCTTATTATTGTTGATTAAAATTACCCAATCACATTATAAATTTGTATTACTGTATGT